TATTGATTTATCCAAGGCGTTTGATCGTTTATTGATTTATCCAAGGCATTTGATCGTTTATTGCTTTATCCAAGGCATTTGATCGTTTATTGATTTATCCAAGGCATTTGATACGGTGGATCACACTATCATGGTAAATATTCTTCTCAAACTGGGCATCTCCAAAGAAGCATCTTACTGGTTTGGAGATTATTTGGCAAATAGGACACAGTGTGTACAGATGGCTGGAGTAAGCTCAAGTTTTCTTAAAGTAAAAAAGGGCGTACCCCAGGGCTCTGTCTTGGGGCCAATCTTATTTACAATTTACATTACTGCACTGTGTGAAAATTTGCAAAATGCCTCCCACCACTTTTATGCTGATGATTGTGTAATTTACTGTTGTTCAAATTCAATTGATCAGGCACTTGAATTCTTACAGGCTGCTTTTGATGAGGTGCAGATTCATCTTGAGCAACTAAAATTGGTCTTAAATGCTGATAAATCTAAAATAATGTTGTTTTTTTCAAATGTATCTGTTCCATTGGAGAATATCTCTCTAATAAAAACTTCCCAAGGTAAAGTTCTCGAGAGGGTCTCCTGTTATAAATACCTGGGCTTAATAATCTACGAGAAGCTTTCTTTTAAATCTCATGTGAAACACCTAATCTCCAAATTAAGGATGAAGCTTGGGTTCTTCTTCAGAAACAAATCATGTTTCTCCCTTAGAGCAAGGAAGCTTCTGATCACGGCTACTTTTTACCAGTACTTGACTACCATACCATACCATTCATCCATCCATCCATCCATCCATCCATCCATCCATCCATCCATCCATTTTCTTTACCCGCTTATTCCATTTTGGGTCACGGGGGGTCGCTGGTGCCCATGTCCAGCAATCACTGTGCGAGGGGCGGGGGACACCCTGGACAGGTCTCCAGTCCATCACAGGGACACATAGAGACAAACGAGACAAACAACCATTCACTCTCTCACTCACACCTAGGGACAATTTAGAGTTACCAGTCAGTCTAACATGCATGTTTTTGGTCTGTGGGAGGAAACCGGAGCACCCGGAGAAAACCCACGCATGCACGGAGAGAACATGCAAACTCCACCCAGAAAGACCCCTGGACTGGGGTTTGAACCAGGGACCTGCTTGCTGAGAGGCAGCAGCTCTACCAGTTGCACCACCGTGCTGCCCACCATACCATACCACTTTATTTAAAGCACTTAAAACAGCAACAAGGCCAACCAAAGTGCTGTACAGACAGAACAACAGGTAACACACAAAGCAAAATACAAAATGAGGTAAATCAGAATATAGACATAAAAACGATGCAGATAATGACGACAAACCAGTGTGGAGCATACAGGATCAAATCACAGATCATCTGGTGTTGAAAGCTACTGAATAGTAGTGAGTTTTTAAACAGGACTTGAAAACCGAGAGGGAGGGGGCCTGTCTGACAAGCAGAGGTAACTCATTCCAAAGTCTTGGTCCTGCTACAGAGAAGGTCCTGTCACCTCTGCGCTTAAGACGAGTTCCTGGAACTGTGAGGAGCAACTGGTCCGCTGACCTCAGGGAGCGTGGTGGGACATACGGTTGTAGCAGATCAGAGAGATGGGGGGGGGACACTGTTCAGTGATTTGTAGACATACTGGAGTATTTTGAACTGGATTCGAAGGTGAACCGGTAACCAGTGCAGTGAGAGCGGAGAGGTCGATGCAGTGGTTTGTGTCGTTGGGAGGGAACAACATGACTTCAGACTTCTTTTCATTGAAACTTAAGAAATTTAAAGCCATCCAGTCCCTGATGTCAGCCAGGCAGTTGAGCAGAGGTTGAGTAGAGCATGTACCATTGTGTCTTAGGGGGAAGTAAATTTGACAGTCCTCGGCATAGAAGTGGAAGGGCATGTTGTGTTTCCGGAAAATAGCACCAGGCGGCAGCAGGTATAAAGAGAATAGGAGGGAACCCAGGATGGACCCCTGCGGAACCCCCCATTTAAGCTCTGCCTCTGCGGAACTAAAATCTTTGATGGAGACACAAAAGGATCTGTCAGTGAGGTAGGATCTGAACCAATTGAGGGCTGATCCTGTGACGCCCACCCACTGCTCCAACCTAGCAATGAGGATCTCATGGTCGATGGTGTCAAAGGCGGCTGTGAGGTCCAACAGGACAAGCAGCACAGAATCATCAGTATCTGTGGATCTGAAGATGTCGTTAAAGACCTTCAGCAGGGCAGTTTCAGTGCTGTGGAGAGGTTTAAAGCCAGATTGGAAAAGCTCTAAGATGGCGTGATCCTCCAGGAAGCACTTCAACTGGGACTCAACTATTTTCTCCAGTAGTTTAGAAACAAATGGGAGTTTGGAGACAGACAGGTAGTTGGACACGACTGAGGGGTCAAAGTTTGTTTTTTTCAGGAGAGGCTGGACAGCAGCATGTTTAAAGGATTTTGGCACCACACCAGTGGATAAACTACTGTTTAGTAAGAATGGACGGACCTAGAGTTGGAAACACCTCCTTTAGTAGTCGAGGGGGGACCACATCAAAGGGGGAGCCAGAAGGTTTCAAGCTGCACATGACCTGCTCTAGAGAAGATAGAGTGATGGGTTCAAAATGGTCAAAAGGAGCTACAGATTGAGGTGGGATGGATGGGTCATGAGTTGGAGGGGAAATGAGAGCCCTGGTGGTCGCAATTTGTTCCAAAAAGAAATGTAAGAAGTTGTTGCACAGCTCAGTCGAGGCTTCCAGAGGTGATGGTTCAGTGAGGTGGAGAACAGAGTTTAGGGTGGAGAAGAGGACATGTGGGTTGTGAGAGTTTGAGGTAATTATATCAGAAGTATTTGGATTTAGCAGCTTTTACTGTTTTACTTTTTACTGACTATGTCGATGTTGTTTACATGTGTGTTTCAAACAGTTTCTACAGTCCTTGAATCCAGTGTACCCACTGTGCATTAAGAGTTATTACTGGTTGGAGCTACCTCATCACTGTGATCTCCATCTTAAAACCAGTATGCTCCCTGTTTAAAAGGCGACATGTGCATTGGAGGACTTTGGTTTATAAGTCTCTTATTGACATGCTTCCACTTTATTTATGTACTTTTACATGAAGAATGGACAGTAATGTCTCACGCTCTGAGGACTGTTTGCATCTTCATGGTCCTCTGGAACAGACGAGTGCACGAAAGCTTTTATCTGTTCTGTCCCTCAGCTTGGAGCCGAATTAAAACTGACAGAACTTGTTACTTTGCTCTCTGCAAACTTTAACAGTGCCTGTGTTTTAGATCTTAAATTGTTATTGTTTTAAATAATTATTGCCATTTGCTGTTATACTGTATGTTTTATGTATTTCTGAAGTCGTCATAATCTTGCTGCTTGTTTTGATGACGTCACGTGTGCTGCTGCCTGTTCTCGGTCACTCTCGTGAAAGACGTCTTGATCTTTTATCTGGTTAAATAAAGGTTTATTAAAATAAAAATGTTGACCGGAAATGAGCACGCGCCTGCAGTGACGGTCACACGGAGGTTCGGTTGGACCCGGTAAAAAGAAAACAGACCATGAAACAACCGGATTTTCCTCCGGTCCAGCTTCACTAACAAGGACCGGACCGACCCCCCACCCCCTCCTTACCAGGGCCCTGCTCGGTCGGAGTCCCCCCCGGGTCCCGGCAGCGAAGAACCAGCAGGAAGCGGACCGTCTCGCCCAAGAAGAGGTGGCTCCGGCGGGGCAGGCTGCGGTACCGGGCCGGGTCCGACAGGTCTGTGATCGGTACCGCCGGGAAATACATGAAATACTCGCACTGAGACTCCATCATCTGCACCATGGCGACGACCGGAGGAGGCTGCGCGAGCGAGACCAGGACCAGAGCCGAACAACGGAACAACAACTTCCTGCTTTCATTTCAAAATAAAAGAAACGGCAACGTCCCGCAGCGCCGTGACCCGCTGGCGCCCCCCGAGGCCACGCGCCGAACTGCAGCGGATCGAACCAAACGGAAGTGAAACATTTTTTAATATATATATATTTTTAATAAAATTCTATTAACACCGCCCATTGCCTAAAAGGTAAAGGTGTTGACTTTTAAAGCAACAGTTCAAGATGGCCGTCATGGTCAACTTACCTGAAAAAGACGGTGCAGCAGACGCTGAAACCCAACACTACACTGTAAAAGGCCTTTTATTTAAATTTCACAGTCAAGTCTGTCTGTTAGTAAAATATAGCATGAAACACTGGATAGAGTTTGACGAGACCTTCAGGAAATAATTATTACGGCCGCAACAGCTTAGGAGACACAAACATAGTTCAGTTACTGGTAACGAGCTAAAAGTCATCCGACCACGATGTGGCTTCAAACGTTAACAGTGACCGTCTGAATCAACCCTGTTTGTCTGTTAGTAAAATTTCTAATGAACCAATGGACAGATGTTGAAACTTCCAGGAAATCATCTTTTTTTTTTATTTAACTTTTTTTAAACAGGCATGAGTTCAATGAGGCACGAGACCTGGTTTTCACCGTAAAGGGGATTAAGTTGAAATAGTTGTTTATCTGGCAACACAAAACATGACTGTTACTTTGAAACATCGCCGGAAGTTTACCGACTGTTTTATGACCTTATTTTAGTGATATCTGAGCGGCTGGAAACATAAAATCATCTCGAGGACAGAAATGATAAAACATGTCTCGTTTTAAACTCTCGACTGTTTCTTTGAAGTCCTCCATCTTTTCCGCCATTTTGTTTTCTCATTTAACAAAGGTCCGACTCACTGGCGGGAAAAACAGCAAAACAGTTTTTAATTTAAATAAAAAAAACGTACAAGTGGAGGCTTTTACTTCGCTGGAAGAGAGGTAAACATGTAGATAACTTCCTGTCTGTCGCTCAGTGTTTTTTCGGTGAATGTTCGTTGACATTTATGTTATTTTACGTTAAAGTAGCTAAACATGGCGGCTCAGTTAGCCTGCGAGCACAATTTATCATTTAGACTCAAACTAAATCAAAGTGTTTTCAAAGGATGGAAAGGTTCCTTTAGTTGGTGGTGATGCAACTAAAACTTATTACATAAAATAAATCCTGTAAAATGGAGACCAAGGATTTAATGTTAAGTTTTAGAGAAATAAAACCACATGTCAGAGTCAGATTCTTTATTGTCATTCGCACCTCATGTGGTACATGTGGTGGAACGAAATTATGTTCACAGGGTCCCAGTTACATCCAACAATAAAATGTCTAAGAAAAACAGTAATAACATCTAAGATATGAACTAAGAAAAACATCAACTAAATATACACTAAGCACATAAAACATTGAACATCAGCACAAACATGAACATGAGTCTGTGAGCAGATGTGCACGCATGAACACATCAACATTGAAACAGATCAGCAGCAACATGAAACAGATCAGCAGCAACATGAAACAGATCAGCAGCGACATGAAACAGATCAGCAGCAACATGATATGGTTTTTCACAGTGATTCTCCTGGTCAGAGATTCATGAGTCTAACAGCCTCAGGGTAGAAGCTGTTCCTCAGT